CTCCAGATACGTAGATGAGTTAGAGCCTTGAGAGGGAGGGAGGAAACTTGGGGGTATCATTCTGTAGTGGAACTTCCCCTGTCCCAACTATACAGATGTGGCATCTCGCAGACTGCACATATGTTACTGGAGCTGATGCAAGGTAAAATTGGCCAGAATCTCATGCCCCATATCGTAATAATTTTAGTCGTACCCCTAATTTTCTTTTCTTTGCTCATGGTACGAAGTTAAATAGAAATGAAATTTTGAGATAAAAAGAGTTCACAATTACTTTGTTAACATCTACGGGCTGTGGTTACAGCAAAGATTGTATGTTCTTCATTTTGTCTTGTAGTCATGGAAGTGCATGCTTCTTGGCAGAGTCTATAGTGTAAGGTTTGCTTTAGGTTCACCGAGACATGACATATATATTACTCACAGTTAATCATTGTAGAGAGATGAGACAAGAATGATAGCCTGCCTTAGGACAGACTTACAAGAAAAGGGAGGGCGGCCGGCGCCACGGCTCAGTAGACTAATCCTCCGCCTTGCGACGTTGGCATACCGGTTCTAGTCCTGGTCGGGGCGCCGGATTCTGTCCCGGTTGCCCCTCTTCCAGGCCAGCTCTCTGCTGTGGCCCGGGAGTGCAGTGGAGGATGACCCAAGTGCATGGGCCCTGCACCCCATGGGAGACCAGGAGAAGCACCTGGCTCCTGGCTTCGGATCAGCGCGGTGCGCTGGCCGCGGCGGCCATTGGAGAGTGAACCAATGGCAAAAAGGAAGACCTTTCTCTCTGTCTCTCTCTCTCTCTCACTGTCCACTCTGCCTGTAAAAAAAAAAAAAAAAAGGGAGGGCACAGAGATTGCAAAAATAATTTTACTTGTAGCCTAAGCAACTCCCTTCTCTTCATTCATTCCTTTAACAGGTGTTTACTGACCACCTACTATGAATAAGGCATTGTTCTGGGTTTTTGGGAAATGTCAGTGAACAAACATCTATTACCATGCAAGCTTACATTTTAAGGGGAGTTAGATAATAAACAATACAGCAATAAGTAAACGATATGATATGTTAAGAGATAAGTGCTATGGGAAAAATGAAAGTAAGAACAGGGTTGGAGGGAACAGGAAAACTGGACTTGACAAAATTGCAATTTTAGATAGGGTTAGCCCCATTGAGACAGCTCCTGAGGGGGAAGTGATTTGCTTGATATCTGTTGACTGGTCAACACGTGATGGTGCAGGATTGGATCCCAAGGCTGGGGCAAATTCTCATGCTTTTTCCTGAAGAGATAGATGGCTGGAGAGTGGCAGAGGTCTCAGGAAGGACATGAGTCACTTTAGTCCTCCTCACTCAGTAAGTCTAGGGTGGACAAGGAGCAGGAGGAGGCAGCTAAAGAAATCGAGGTACCTAGCCGGAGGGTGTGGCCTGGGCGTAGCTTTGTCAAGTGGCATGCTCTACAACACTGGAAGGAGGACAGGTGACGAAGGGACAACACTGGCGAATGGCCACTTGGAAGGGGAGCACTTACCTACACCTCTCAGGGCAGTTAAGTCTCTCCCAGAACATACTTTGGGAAACTGGATTACCTAGAGCTGTGGACAGCCCAAGCCACTTCTTTAAGGATTTGTTTTCGATTGAGGAAACTTAAAAGCTAAGACACAAGTAGATTTTTGTTGACCAGGTCATATAAAAGCTGCAATTCAGTATAATGGTCCCGTTTGCTGGTTCAAAACATTTCAGGAAAGAATGTGGTAAATAATTCATCTTTCACGCAATTACCACCCAAAGGCTCCTGCATTTCAGAGGGTAGTGTGTTCTGGAGAGGAAAGAGGTACTTTCTACTAAGCAATTGGTTTCACCAACAAAGGGCCCTTTATAGATTTCTTTTTTCTGTGAGCTCCAGGATTCAATCTCTGTTATGATAACAATCTAGGCAAACCCAGTCAAGTGAATGATTTCTACACAGAACAAAATGCAGAACTCCTGGAATGGATTTGCAAGGAAAAACTCATTTCTTAAAAACTGTTACCCCTTATGACTTTGCATCAAAGAAAAATGAGTGTTAAATATATGTCTCTCATTTTGTTGACGAGGACTAAGGCCTGAATAGGCCAGGTGATTTGCCGAAGGTGACAGATAATTGCTTGAAGAGCTAACTCATTGGCCAGTGCTTGTTCCAGTTCAACCAAGTCCCACCATGGGTGCTTTGAATTTATGTATATTTCAACTTTGCATAAAGCAAAAGAGGAGAAAAATACTATAACATTTTAATTTTCCTGTATATTCTTTATCACATACTGTCCATTATCACCTATATAATATATTCACATATGCATATTACTACGTAGAGTTATATACATAAAACCATGTAAACTGTACTTCTAGGATAATTTTGGAGGTTTTCCAGGGGGTAATTTTGGCTGTAAATGATTTGCAGCTCATGTAGGAATGGAAAACTTAATCTGCTCTGAATAAAACACAACTCCTCGCATTCGATGTTTCCTCCTTTGTTACACACTACAGGTCAGGTCATGACCATTCAGGGTAGAAGAGCCAGATATGACTCAGCTTAAAGTGCAAGTGTAATTGTTGCCATAAATGCCAGCCACGGAAAGGCGTTCCATCACATTTATTTGTGAGGTGGGTTGTGCCAGTGCTGGAACACAGTGGGGAGAAAGGAGACTTGGGCTGACTCTTCTTTCTCATCTGAATCGAGCATCAGAATATCTGCAAGTGTCTGAGGTGTGCCTGGCGCAGGTGTAACTAGTTCTGGCCTGGCACTAGCATTCCAGGGTCGTTCTCTTGCAGCTCTGTTTTCCTCTCCACCTCACTGTCTTTTCCCTCTCTCATTTCTGGCCCTCTTGAATACCAAATCTATAAATGGATGTAAAGCCAGGGTTAGCAGAGTGACCATTTCTGCCCGTCTTCTCCAGACCTGATTGCGAGCCACTGGAATAGGTGCACAACTTCAAATGCATGCCTTTTTCTGCCCTCAAAAGAAAGATGTGGAAAACACAGACTCTTAGGATAGGAGGCTGGCAGAACTTGCAGGTGCTTTGCAGGTCAGGCCCAAATGCCTGATTGTAAAGATGTCGTAGTGAGACCCCTGAGAGTCTTCTCCAGGTTGCCAGCTTTCATGCTGAAGATCGTTTTCCCCGATGCTCTGTATGCTCTTTCAGAAGTCTAAATAAACGTTGTCCACCCATCGGACCCCCGGAAAGGGAGTCTCTGATTTTCTATGAAAAATATTCTTGGGAACTTGAGTCTTCAGGCCTGGGCATTATATCACCTGAATTTGCCTCTTCTGGCCCCCAAAGGAAATGTTGTTCTAATGAAAGCACTTGTGTGTGCTAAACTGAGAATGTGCTTATCAGGGGCAAAGGGCGAAGGGGATGCTATGGGAGACATTCGTGGATGATCAGTTTTCTAGATGTGTAATGGGACAGAGCAAGGGCTTCCCTAGGCCACACGCTCAGCAGGACCAAAACCCGGGCCACAGCTCCAGCAGGGAGACCTACCTTCTCTCTCTGAACATACCAGGAACAACTACTGCGTATTCATTGTGAGGAACCACTTTCTCCTCAGAACATGACAGTGTAGATCTTTTAAGAAAGAGCAGGGGCTGGCCCGGTGACGTAGTGGGTAAAGCCACCACCTGAAGCGCCAGCATCCCATATGGGTGTCGGTTCGAGTCCCGGCTGCTCCACTTCCGATCCAGCTCTCTGCTATGGCCTGGGAAAGCAGTAGAAGATGGCCCAAGTCCTTGGGCCCCTGCAACCACAGGGGAGACCCAGAAGAAGCTCCTGGCTTCGGACTGGCCCAGCTCTGTCTGTTGTGGCCATTTGGAGAGTGAACCAGCAGATGGAAGATCTTTCTCTACCTCTCCCTCTCTCTGTAACTCTGACTTTCAAATAAATAAATAAATAAGTCTTTTAAAAACAAACAAAAAAACCAAAACAAGCCCCCAAATCATTATAGATTCATCTATTGTGATGGGATTTTTTTTTTTTTGACAGGCAGAGTGGACAGTGAGAGAGAGAGACAGAGAGAAAGGTCTTCCTTTGCCGTTGGTTCACCCTCCAATGGCCGCCACGGCTGGCGCGCTGCGGCCAGCGCACCGCGCTGATCCAGTGGCAGGAGCCAGGTACTTATCCTGGTCTCCCATGGGGTGCAGGGCCCAAGGACTTGGGCCATCCTCCACTGCACACCCGGGCCACAGCAGAGAGCTGGCCTGGAAGAGGGGCAACTGGGACAGAATCCGGCGCCCCGACCGGGACTAGAACCTGGTGTGCCAGCGCTGCAAGGCGGAGGATTAGCCTATTGAGCCACAGCGCCGGCCTGTGATGGGATTTTTAAAGACCTTCCCAAAAGGCTGGCGCCGTGGATCAATAGGCTAATCCTCTGCCTGCGGTGCTGGCACACCGGGTTCTAGTCCCGGTTGGAGCGCCGGATTCTGTCCTGCTTGCCCCTCTTCCAGGCCAGCTCTCTGCTGTGGCCCAGGAGTGCAGTGGAGGATGGCCCAAGTGCTTGGGCCCTGCACCTGCGTGGGAGACCAGAAGAAGCAACTGGCTCCTGGCTTCGGATCAGCGCGGTGTGCCTGCCGCAGGAGGGTGAACCAACAGTAAAGGAAGACCTTTCTCTCTGTCTCTCTCACTGTCCACTCTGCCTGTCAAAAAAATAAAAATAATAAATAAATAAATTTAAAAAAAGGCCTCCCCAGAAAGGTGCAGGCTGATTTCTCATAATTAGTTAATTAATCAGTATTGCTACTTTGGTTATTGTTATTGTTATATTGGTTATTGGTGATGAGCAGAAAGAGATTATGGTGGCTATGGGTATTGCCATTATGGAAAGGATTTCTGGGTAATATGAGTATGAAACAATTTTGAAGAAGGAATGAGAAGATGAAAAGTAGCCTTTGGTAGACCTTGGATTGATATTTCCAGCAAATAAGTTGGAATCTAGAAAACTCGACTGTCACTTCTGAGTAGTCACCTGATTTGCTTTGTTGTTCCAAGGTTACTGATATTCTGTGGAGCGATCCCAGAGGCAGAAAAGGCTGCTATCCAAACACAAGTCGCGGTGGGGGCTGCTATTTTGGTCCAGACGTGACGTCTAAGGTTCTCAGTAAATACCAGTTGAAGCTGCTCATCAGGTCTCATGAATGCAAACCCGAAGGGTATGAAATCTGCCATGACGGAAAGGTACGCTAACCTGGTGCGTGCTGTGTGCGCAGACGTCCTTCCCGACGCAGGAGCTGCGTGTCGCCGCGCGCCTCTCACCTGCAAGTCCAGGAAATGCCGTCTTCGCCACGATCAAATGGCAACCAGCCTGTAGGGTTCACGTAGGTTGTTTGGAGGGGGCCTCTCTGTCCCCTCACCCTAAGATACTTGCTGTATTTTTTCCTGAGCTTCCCTAATCCCAAAAACAGGAACTGGGACGCGTGACACCAAACACTCCCAGCAAGTCTCTATTCTTTACTAATTGTCAGGTGACTCCCAGACAGTGAAGCCAAGGATGGAGTTTTCCTCACAGAGCGCAGGAAGGGCCGCGGTGAGCCCCGGGTGCTCTCCTCCACTCTCCGCGTGCTGCCTGTGCAGGGCAGAAATCACGAAGCCCACGGCGGGCTGATCTCCAGCGAGCTGCTTGCTGCGGCCCGGTTAGCCGCAGGCACTAAAACCCAGTGTGTTGCGTTCCTTTAGGCTGAGTGATAAGGCTAGAAGAGGTGAAGACTGAGGAACTAGGCTCCTGTCCCAAATTGTCCTGGGAAGCCCCCTCTTCTTTAGTGAATGAACACAGATTTAGCATCCCTAATCCGAAAAATCTGAAATCCAAAATATTTTGAGCTCCAACATGGTGCTCAAAAAGTTGCAAGTTTTAGAGCAGTTCAGATTTGGGATTTTTTGATAAGGGATGCGGCATTGGTAGAGGCGATGCAAATATTCCAAATTCCTAAAACTGAAATCTGGAACATTTCTGGGCCCAACACTTCTCTTTTCTTAACTCTGTTGATTCATTTTAAGCTCATATTAACGTTGCAAGATGGGTAAGGTGTGTGATATTTAGGGTTTCTTAGGAATAAGAAAATGGAAAGTAGCAGTAGCTTGCCGGAACTGACATGCTCCTTAGAACAGAACTAGGCACAAGTCAAGTTTCCTGTCACTGACAAGTATTGTCCTCCCGTATTCCATTACATCTGCAACACTGCTGCTTTGCTCTTCATGATCTCCTATTCCAGCCACTATTTCTCTGCCCTTCAAATGCTGGTTTTGAGAGGCCCTGAACCCTCTGAATCCTTAGCTGAAAGAGAAAGAAAAAGGGGAGGTCCTAGACAAGTTTTACTTTGAATGCAAGAAATGTTACAAGGCAAGAAAATGAGGGGTTTATGTCCCTGGAAAATCACATTTGCAAAACCAAACATTAAAAAGGGATTCCAAGATCCTGCACTAAAATTGCTCACAGGATGTCGGGGCCATACACAGGGGCTAGAGGGCAAGTGGCTAGGAGCTGGTACTCCTGGAGCACTGAGTGAAAAGCCTCGTTTTCCTCCAGGGGAAACACAGGCAATCACATCAAGCTTGCATAACCGCAGAGACTATGAGCTTTATAAGCTTTTGTATTTTAAGAATCCCAGTATTCCTGACATTATTGAATGGCCTCTGGAGAACTATTGTTACGTGAACATGAGCTTCTTTTTCTTTAACCAGGTCATCACTGTATTTTCTGCTTCTAACTATTATGAAGAAGGCAGCAACCGAGGCGCTTACATCAGACTGAGTTTTGGTACCAGCCTTCGATTTTTCCAGTACCAAGTAACTAAGGCAACATACTCGAAGCCTCTTCACCAAAGGTGTGTATCCGCTGAGAAGACTGGGCATGGGGATTCATGACTTAGTCCCAAGTGGCGAGGAGCAGTCACGTGAGTGGAAATAGCCACTTTGGGGTTACTCATTCATATAAATAAAATGCAATAATTCCAGACACCAAGTGGTGAATAAACCTGAATTTGAAAACCAGAGGAGGAGCAATTTGCAGTTCACACATCTTTAATGGACAAAGCAGTGTGCACTCATGAACATGACTGAATGTAGAGAAACGGAGGGCTCCCACCTACTCAGTCCTCCCTATAGCCGTCTGGGCCCCCCCAACGACCCTGTCTGGTCGCTCCCCCTCTCTCCTCTCCCACGAAGTGTATGTGACTGAAATAGCAGGTGGCTCTCTTCATGTGATGGCAGTGATGGTGCTCAGAGTGTGTACCCCCTTTCTCCTTTTAACATTATCTTTCTTTTCTTTATTTTTTTTTACAATAAAACTAATGTGTTTATAGTTAACAACAGGAAAAAAACAGAAAGTCTCATCAAAAGAAAATGTTAATAATCTTTTCTCCCCTTACTTCTCAATAATCCTTTTTCCATAGGCAACTAAAGCTAACAGCCCCTTCCACCTTTTTCTTCTTGCCCTGTAGAAAATAGACAAGCAGTTATTCATTTATTGAAGGAATACTTCACTTATTTTGAGCACCTACTATGTGTCAAACACTGTTCTGGGCACAGCTTTCTGTATCACAATACACAATCACAATAGGCAAAAACCCCTTCATCACACACACATCTCAGTGTGAGGAGGACACGCGCACCATATGTAAGGAACTCATACAGCTACTCAATAGCAAAAAAGGCAAATATGCCAATTTACCAAATGGGCAAAGGGCCTGAATAGATATTTTTTCCAAAGAAGCCATTCAAATGGTCACTATGTATGAAAAGATGTCCAGTATCACTAATCATCAAGGAAATGCAAGTATACAGCAAGTGGTATATAAAGTTGACCCACTTAAAGTATGTAATTCAATGATATTTAGTGGATTTAGAGTTGTACAGCCATCACCTGTATGTAATTTTTAAAGTGTTATTTATTTGAAAGGAAGAGTGATGGAGGATGGTAGGGGAGAGAGAAAGAGAGAGGGAGAAAGAGAGAGAGGGAGAGAGGAGGAGAATCTACCATCCACTGGTTCACTCCCCAAATGTCAACAACAGCTGGGTCTGAGCCAGATCAAAGCCAGGGGCTAGGAACTCCATCTAGGTCGTCCATGTGGGTAGCAGGACCCCAAGCACTTGAGCCATCTCCTGCTGCTTCCGAGGGTGCTCATCATCAGGAAGCTGGATAGGAAGCAGAGGCGGGACTCAACCCCAGGCACTCCAGAATGCCCCCCACCACCACCTTTATGTAATTATTAAACACTTGTACTACTCAGTGAGAAAACTCATGCCCATTAGGGGTCACTTGCCAGTCACCTCCTCCCATCAAAGCTCCAGGCAACTACTAATCTATCTTCTCTCTATGGATTTGTTTATTCTGAACATTACTTATAATTAGGACCACTCAGTTTGTGGTCTTTTGTGGCTGATTTCTTTCTCTCAACACAATGGTTTTGAGGTTCATTCTGACATGTTGTCACGTGTGTCAGCCCTTCATTTACTATGGCCAAATAATATCACATTTCCTGAGTGGATCACATTTCGTTGATAATTCATCAGCTGATAGACATTTGGATTGTTTCCGGTTGGAGGCTGTTACGAATAATGCTGTTACGAACATTCATGGACCACTTTTTATGTATATGTATATTTTTTAAACTGATAAGAACAGATATTACACTTGATCTTAGTCAAAAGGCCGAGAAGCAATGTGCATAGGTATGTTTTTTTTTTTTTTTTGACAGGCAGAGTAGACAGTGAGAGAGAGAGACAGAGAGGAAGGTCTTCCTTTTCCCGTTGGTTCACCCTCCAATGGCCGCCACGGCTGGCGCGCTGTGGCCAGCGCACCGCGCTGATCCGATGGCAGGAGCCAGGTACTTCTCCTGGTCTCCCATGGGGTGCAGGGCCCAAGCACCTGGGCCATCCTCCACTGCACTCCCTGGCCACAGCAGAGGGCTGGCCTGGAAGAGGGGCAACCAGGACAGAATCTGGCACCCCAACTGGGACTAGAACCCGGTGTGCCGGCGCCACAAGGCGGAGGATTAGCCTAGTGAGCCGCGGCACCGGCCCATAGGTATGTTTTTATTTCTCTTGGGTATATACTTGAATCGCTAGGTTTTATAGTAACTCTATGTGTAACATTTTGAGGAACTTTTAAACTGTTTCTCTAAGAGATTGCACAGATTTCCATTCCTGCCATCAGTTTGTGAGGATTCCAGTTTCCCTGCATTCCTGACGACCTTTGTTACTGTCTGTCGTTTTGAGTACAGTCAGCTTAGTGGGTGTGAGGTAGAGTCACACTGGATCTTGATTTACACTTCCTTAGTGATACATGATGCTGAACATCTTCGTATGTGCTTATTAAAACATTGATATATCTCCTTTGGAGAGATGTGTATTTTACATTCTTTTTACATGTTATTACTCTTTTCTTATAAGAGTTCTTTGTGTAGTCTAAGTACATGTCACCTATTAGATATATAATTTGCAAATATTTGCTCCCATTCTTCGGGAGTCTTTTAACTTTCCTGATGGTGTTATTTGTAGCACAAAAAAAATATTCATTTTGATGAATTCCAACTTGTTGCTTGTCCTTTCAGTGTTTTATCTAAAAAGTTATTGCCAGGGCCGGTGTCATGGCTCAGTTGGTCAATCCTCCGCCTGCGGCGCCGGCATCCCATATGGGCGCCGGGTTCTAGTCCCGGTTGCTCCTCTTCCAGTCCAGCTCTCTGCTATGGCCCGGGAGTGCAGTGGAGGATGGCACAAGTGCTTGGGCCCCTGCACCCGCATGGGAGACCAGGAGGAAGCACCTGGCTCCTGGCTTCGGATTAGTGTAGCTCCGGCCATAGCGGCCATTTGGGGGGTGAACCAACGGAAGGAAGACCTTTCTCTCTGTCTCTCTCTCTCACTGTCTAACTCTGTCAAATAATAATAATAATAAAAAAGCTATTGCCTAACCCAAAGTCATAAGGATTTATTACTCCCTTTTTTCCTAAGAGTTTGATAGGTTTAGTTCTTATATTTAGCTCTGACCCATTTTGAGTTAATTTTTGTGTATAGTGTGAGGTAGGGGTCCAGCTTTATTATCTTACATGTGGATAGCCAGTTGTCCTAATAACATAGTTGAAAAGAGTATCCTTTTCCTATTTACCCATCTTGACACTTTGGTCACACATCAACTGACCATAAATGTAAGGGTTTATTTCTGGATTTTAAATGGTGCTCTATAGATCTATATGTCTATCCTAAGGTAGGAACTACAGTATCCTGATTACTGTAGCTTTATATGAGTTGAGCATTCCTAATCTGAAAACCTGAAATCCAGAACACTTTCCATGCCAGCAAAATCTATACAAATATTCTAAAATCTGAGCAGCTTTGAAATCTGAAACCCTTTTGATCCCAAACATTTTACATAAGGGATACTCAACTTTCAGTAAGTTTTAAAACTGGAAAATGTGAACTGAACTTTGTGCTTTTTAAAAATATTTATTTATTTGAAAGGCAGAATAACAGAAACAGAGAGGAGAGAGAGAGAGAGAGAGAGAGAGAGAGAGAGAGACAGAGAGAGAGATCCTATTCCCTGGAAATGGTTTCACTTCTTTTCTAATCTGCATGCATTTCTTTCTTTCCCGTGCCTAATTGCCATGGCTAGAACTTGCAGTACAACGTTGAATAAAACTGGCGGAAGCAGATATCCTTGTCTTGTTCCTGATCTTGAGGGGAATGCATTCAGTCTTGGACTATTAAGTGTGGGGTTAGCTGTGTGGGGTTTTTTTTTTTTTTTTTGGTTGATAACCTTTATTAGGTTGAGGAAATTCCTTTCTATGCTTAATTTGTAGAAAGTTTTTATCATGAGAGGGACGAATTTTGATAAATACCTTTTAATGCATCTATTGGGATGATCATGTGGTTTTTGTCTTTTATTCAGAAACCCTGATTGATTTCAGATATTACCTAAAATGTGCATTCCTAGAATAAATCCTGTTGCTGATGGTGTGTAATGCTTTTAATATGTTCTTCGATACAGTGTTATAATTTATTGAGGATTTTACAACTTTATTCATAATTAAATTCATATATTTGTAAGAGATATAGGTCTGAGTTTTCTTGTGATCTTTGTCTGATTTTAGCATCAGGGTAAAACTGGCTTCTCATCAGTATTCCCACCTGTGGGGAGCAACTGGGAGCAACTCAGACTAGACTAAGTTACTGGAATTAAGACTTATTCTATGCATCTGCTCTCCCACAATATGGTGCTGGGAGAGGAGGAAACAGCTTCTACACAGCTGCCTCCAGTTCAACCAATAAACTGTGGGACCTGCTCCTGATTGGAGGAGAGCAGCGTACTCGGCGTGTGGGTAGCAGAGTTGGGATTGGTGGAAGAGGACTATAAAGGAGGAGAGAGACAACATGCACCGGGAACATCTATCTGAAGGAACACCTGTGCAGCCCCCGAGAGAGCCGGCCGGTGGTGTGCCGCTCCCCCGCGGAAGTGGGGAAAGTGGCTAGGGGGAACCGCCCTTCCACGGAGGTGGAAGGGACGGTAGCCAACCCGGGAAGAACCAGCAGCAAACCTGGGGAGGGCCGAGCAGACGAAAGAACAGCGCAGGGTCCTGTGTCGTTCCTCCACGAAGAGGGGGAGCGACACCCACCTCTTTTATTTCTTAGAAGAATTAAATGTTTAATAGAATTCCCCAGTGAAGCCATCTAGCCTTAGGCTTTGCTTTGTGGGTTGCTTGATTACCTATTCAATCTTTTTACTTGTTACAGGCATGCTCAGTTTTTCTATTTTTTCTTAAATAAATCATGGTCATTTGTGTTTATCTGGGAATTTGTCCATCTCATATGGATTACCTAATTTGTTAGTGTACAATCATTCATAATATTCCCTTATAGTCTTCCTTACATTACTGGACAGCAGTGATGTCCCCTCTTTCATTCCTGATTTTAGACATTGGGTGTTAGACATTGAGTCATCTCTCGCTTGCTCGCTCTCTCTTTTTTTTTTTTTTTGGCCTGTCTAAAGCTTTGTCAATTTTTTTATCCTTTCAAAGAACCAATTTTTGGTTTTGTTGATTTTTCTGTATTGTTTTTCTATTGTGTTTTCATTTCTTTCTGTTTTATTATTTTCTTCCTTCTGCTTACATTGGGTTTAGTCTACTCTTCGTCCAGTTTCAAAGTAGATTATGTTGTTATTTTGAGATCTTGAAAGTTTTTTTCATTTTATCTGAAAGGCAGAAAGAAAGGGAGGAGGGAATCTGGGCCAGGCCAAAGCCAGGAGCTGAATCTGCGTCTCCACACGGGTGGTAGGGACCCAAGTACCTGAGCCATCATCTGCTGCCCCCCAGGGTGCGCTAGAATCGGAAGCAGAAGAGCTGGCACTCGAACCAGGCACTCCAGTATGGGATGCTGGCATCCCAAGTGGTGTCTTAACTGCCGCACCAAATGCTTACATCCCTCACCCCTTGTCTGTCTGTCTGTCTTCTTAAATTTTCCTGAAGTCTATTTTGTCTACTATTAATGTGGCCATTCTAGCTGTCATTTTTGTTACTTGCCTGGTGTTTGGGTTTTTTTTTTTTTGTCCTTTCCTTTTGTATCTCTTTGTATCTTTGAAACTAAAATGTGTTTCCTGTAGAAAACATAATTGGAAGTTGTTTTGTATTTGCACAATGTCACAATCTCTACCTTGTGATTTGCTTATTTTAATCTATTTGCATATCATGTTATTGTTGATATGGTTGGATTTACATCTGCCATTTTGATTCATGTATATACATGTACACACACATATATACATATATATACACATATGTACACACATATATATCATATATATGATATATAATATATATGATATATGATTAGCCCTCCATATCCACAGGTTATGCATCTGTAGATTTAACTGACAACAGATAGAAAGCACTTTAAAAAATTGTGTTTCAGGGGCTGGTGCTGTGGCATAGCAGGCAAAGCCACTGCCTGCAGTGCCGGCCTCTCATATGGGCTCTGGTTCAAGACCCGGCTGCTCCACTTCTGATCCAGCTCTCTGCTATGGCCTGGGAAAGCAGTAAAAGATGAGACTGCACCCGTGTGGGATACCTGGAAGAAGCTCTTGGCTTTGGATCAGTGCAGCTCTGGCCATTGTGGCTATCTGGGGAGTGAACCAGTGGATAGAAGACCTCTCTCTCTCTCTGCCTCTTCCTCTCTGTAACTCTGACTTTCAAATAAATAAATTTAAAAATTAATAAGTAAATCTTTTTTAAAAATTGTGTCTGTACTCACCATCTCAGTTTTTGTCTTTTCATTATTCCACAAACAATACAGGATAATAACTATTTTTTTAAATATTTATTTTATTTATTTGAAAGAGGTAGAGACAGAGAGAGAGGTCTTCCATCTGCTGGTTCACTCCCCAGATGGCTGCAACGGCCGGAGCTGCGCTGAAGCCAGGAGCCACGGGTGCCACATGGGTGCAGAGGCCCAAGGACTTGGGCCATTTTCTACTGCTTTCCCAGGCCATGGCAGAGAGCTGGATGGGAAGAGGAGCAGCCAGGACTAGAACCAGTGCCCATATGGGATGCCGGCGCTTCAGGATGGGGCTTTAACCCACTGCATCACAGTGCCTGCCCTGATAATAACTGTTTATTTAGCATTTAAAGATGATTGAAATTACATGGGATAGTGTCCACAGGCTATATGCAAATACTAGGCCATTTTATAGGAAGGACTTGAGCACATGTGCATTTTGGTGACCTTGGGACATCCCGGTGTGCATCGCCTGTGGATCCTGAGTGGTGACTGTGTATCTCACCACTATTTTGTTCCTCTGTTCCTCCTTCATTTCAAATTGGGTTTTGTAAATGGTCTGAGGCAGATGTTAAGTCCAGCTGATTAGCTAACTATGTTAGCACTATTTGTAAAAATTATTCCTTTCTATTTGCTTGTAATACCACTGTTGTCATGTGTGTTGTTCCCATACATCACTGGACATATTTATGAAACTTCCGTTCTGCTTGTACATCAGTCTTCTCGTGTCAATACCTGTTACTTTGTTTCAGTAACTTAATGATAAATTTCAGTATCTGGAATAGCAAGTCCCTCTTTATTTTCCTTCATTTTCAAATAATTGTTCTTGTGAATCTTCAAAATCCAAAAGAAAACACTATTTGTCACCCTTTTAACATTTCACAGAATGCATACATGCGTATGTATATACATATGCGTATGCTCTTTAGTTAATAACATGGCATGTGTGAAGCTAGGCAAATCATTTAAAGTAGAAACTGGTAAGCACATTAAAATGGATCAGGACAGGATGGCTGGTATAACTTTCACCTCATGATTTGTTGTCTTAACACAGGGTGAATACTATTGAAAGCAGTGCCATTAAGATATTAAAAGAGAGGATAATTGGACGAAAAACTGACCTCATCCGTGCCTTCCAGCTTCAAGACCATAGTCGATCAGGTAATATAACTCTGTAACGCGCACCGCTTATTGACACAGTACGTCACCTCCAGATCGGTGTTCCTTTGCTTTGTTTCCTTAGGATTTCAGTTCTCCATTTTTGCTGGAAAAGAAATGATAGTGATAAAAATAAAATGTAATTCATTATTTGCTCAAGAAAAGGGCATTTTTCTCCTTTTTAGATAGCATCTTTCAACTCAGAAAACCAACAGTAGCCCTGAATTAGACTTCTATTCTGATAGTGTGTCAGACCAGATACTCTGGAGGGCCCTCCTGTTAAGCAGGTGGGTTCGGGAGGATGTGTAATTTGAAAGCATGTGTCAACCTCACAGCAAGGTAGATCTCTTAGCTGTACATCTACTCCCCGCAAAAGGTGAGTTGAAAGCACGTGTGGAGGCCGGCGCCGCGGCTCACAAGGCTAATCCTCCGCCTAGCGGCGCCAGCACACCGGGTTCTAGTCCCAGTTGGGGCGCCGGATTCTGTCCCGGTTGCCCCTCTTCCAGGCCAGCCCTCTGCTGTGGCCAGGGAGTGCAGTGGAGGATGGCCCAAGTGTTGGGCCCTGCACCCCATGGGAGACCAGGTTAAGCACCTGGCTCCTGCCATCGGATCAGCGCGGTGCGCTGGCCGCAGCGCGCCGACCGCAGCAGCCATTGGAGGGTGAACCAACGGCAAAAGGAAGACCTTTCTCTCTGTCTCTCTCTCTCACTGTCCACGCTGTCTGTCAAAAAAAATAAAAGCCGGCGCCGCGACTCACTAGGCTAATCCTCCGCCTAGCGGCGCGGGCACACCGGGTTCTAGTCCCGGTCGGGGCGCCGGATTCTGTCCCGGTTGCCCCTCTTCCAGGCCAGCTCTCTGCTGTGGCCAGGGAGTGCAGTGGAGGATGGCCCAGGTGCTTGGGCCCTGCACCCCATGGGAGACCAGGAAAAGCACCTGGCTCCTGGCTCCTGCCATCGGATCAGCGCGGTGCGCTAGCTGCAACGCGCCGGCCGCGGCGGCCATTGGAGGGTGAACCAACGGCAAAGGAAGCCCTTTCTCTCTGTCTCTCTCTCTCACTGTCCACTCTGCCTGTCAAAAAAAAAAAAGAAAGAAAAAAGAAAGCACATGTGGGAGCAAGGTGCACCAGGCAAGCACCAAGGGCTGCACTGTCCCAGGAGCAAACTCTAGTATCGGGCAGTCCTGAGACTAAACTGGTATGGTAGAAAGGGAAGCCGAATGTGTGGCTTCCACTTTAAACCTGGACCCGCAAAGTGGCTAAAATGGTACCAATCTGTAATGCTCCCTGACCCTGACGAGCAAATGCCAAGCCATCTTCGAGGGAAATATCCCAAATTTGACCCCTAGTATAGCTGAGATAAGATCAGCCAACATGAGCTACAAACAAGGAGACAGACTACCATGAATGAAAGTCAGCAGAAATAACAAACAATATATTTAGTTCCCCAAGGGGACCAGATATTACAGTTATTGAATGTAAAATAAGTAAGAAATGTTTAAAAAATAAGATGGAACCACAAACAGGCATTGGAAAATGATTTGAGGAGGAACCAAATGGATATGAAAATATATTGGCTGAAGAAGAAGCATAATAGATGGGCTACAAAGAGGCTTAAACACTGCTCAAAAAAGAATAGATTGAGTTACGAACAGTAAACCGAGAATATTTAATGTATATTTCATCAGAGTATGAGGAAGAGAGAATATGAGAGGCCATATTTGACAGGATAACGACTGAGACTTTTCCAGAACTGATGGAAGACTCCAATTCATAAGTAAGAAGGAGAATGATTCCCAGGCAGGATCAATAAGATTCAGTGCGCACTTGTCACACGCTTGTGAAACTGCAGAGCACCAGTCGCCAAGCAGGCCGAGAGGAAACACACACCGCTCCAAAGACACGACAGTGAGACTGATGGTTTCTCAACAGTTGGGAAAGCAGCCAGTGCAGTGGATTTACACACACCAAACACTGAAAGCTACATTTAGAAAAAGACGGATCACGAAAACATTAGCAAAAACAAAGCTTGATGAGTGCTAATAATAGCAAAGTAGCCTCTGAGGGCAGGTAAGAGGGTACTTCTAAAAGTTCATGGAAAATAGAATTAAAAGCTGTGTTAGTTTGGTGCAAAAATATTGTGAAATCCGTGCAGTCTTTTCATAATACGTTTTTTTTTGTCTTGAGTTTTTAAAGACTCCTCGGACATTGCAGTCAGCTCTCCATATTCGTGGGTTCTGTATCAGGGATTCCAGCAACTGTGAATTCCTGAAAATATTTGTGAAAAGACAGTTGCGTCTGCACTGGATATGTGGAGACGTCTGGGGAGTCATTTCCCCTAAATGAACTGCATGACCGATTTACATAATATTTTCATTGTATTAGCTATTGTAAGTAATTTAGAACTGAGGTAAAGTGTGTAGGAGGATATGAGGTGCTATGCAAATACTACCACATTTTCTAGAAGAGACTTGAGCATCCATGGATTTTGGTTGTGTTTCCTGGAACCAGTTTCCCACCAATTCAGCGGATACCAAGGCTGTCAATATCAAAAAAATCTTACAAATCTTGAGACCCTTTGATCTTGCAGTACCACTTCTGGGAATGATCCTAAGGAAATAATGGAATAGTACCATACCCATTAAAATGACGCTGTAGGGGTGGGCATTGTGGTGCAGCAGCTGAAACTGCCACTTGGGCCACCTGCATCGCTTATCCCAGGGCCTGGGGTGGAGTCCTGCCTCAACCTTCCTGTCCAACTCCCTGCTAATGCACCTAGGGGGCAGCAGATGATGGCTCAAGCACTTGAGTCCCTGCCACCTCTGTGAGACACTCAGATAGAATTCCTGGCCTGATGGAAAGCCAAGACACTGTGACAAAAAATGACCTACATGAAAGATCTCTGTGAGTGAGATCCTGGTGGAAAGAACGGGCCATCAAAGAAGGAGGTACCATTCTCTGAAGGGAGGAGAGAGCTTCCACTTTGATTATGGCCCTGTCTAAATATGATCGGAGTTGGCAAACTCAAGAGGCTTCCATAGCCTTGGCAGCTCATGACAAGAGCCTAGGGAGATTACTGATGCCATAAATAAGAGTGTCAGTTGTTAAATCAACAATAGGAGTCACTGTGCACTTGCTCCCCATGTAGGACCTCTGTCCTTGATAAGTTGTACTATGAGAATTAACAGTAAAACTGGTCTTCAAACAATACTTTATACTTTGTGTGTCTGTGTGGGTGCAAACTGTTGAAATCTTTACTTAGTATATACTAAGTTGATCTTCTGTATATAAAGATAATTAAAAATGAATCTTAATGAAGAATGGGATGGGAGAGGGAGTAGGAGGTAGGATGGTTTGGGGATGGGAGGGCGGGTATGGGGAGAAGAACTGCTATAATCCAAAAGCTGTACCTATGAAATTTATATTTATTAAATAAAAGCTTTCTATTAAAAAAAAAAAAAGAATTCCTGGCCTGGCCTAGCCCTGGCTGTTACAGGCATTTGTGGAATGAACAGTGGATAGAAGCACTCTATCTCTGTTACTCTGCCTTTCAAATAAATAAAAATGAATGAACATGTTTTTTTAAATGTGATTTGAGTTAAAAATATAAAGATAATATAGATCTATGTTTATTAGCATGGATGGCTATCCATGACTTATTGATTGAAAAAAACAGGTTAGAGTAAATGTATATGTGTGTATACACATGTATTTTGTCATATCAATACATGTATATAAAACATGAACAGTGTATACTTAATTTCAAGAAAATATATAGACATTTACATATGTATATGTTTATATACATAGAAAAAACTAGAAGTAATATTGTTTTCTATGTATTCAGAATCATTTAAAATGAGCATATGTAAATAATCAGAAAAAATAAATATATTTGTATTTTGGAAAACTAGAAAATGTTATGGGGAAAGGGATATTAGCTGAGAAAATGGCAGGTGAGAAATTTAGCAAAATATTAAAAACAAAAGTAAATCTTTTGCGCTTTGTATTATTTTCTGTTTTCAAATCATCTATAATAAGCACACCTTATTTTGTTCATCAGAAAAGGCAAAAACATGTAGCATCCAAAGTCTAATTTATTCTGTGTGACAGCCAAAGCAAGATGTACGGCATACTGAAGAGGTTGTAGTTATTTCTCCCTCAGGGTAGTGGGGCCTGCTAGGATACCCTAGGCCACCCACTGTTGCTGCCAAGGAGCTTGTGTTATTTTAAAAATCAAATTATAGGGGCCAGTGTTGTGTTGTAGTGGTGTTGCCACCTGCAACACCAACATCCCACATGGGTGCTGGTTCAAGTCCAGCTGTTCCACTTCTCATCCGGCTCCCTGCTAATGCTCCTGGGAAAGCAGTGCAAGATGGCCCATGTGCTTAGGTCCCTGCCACACACATGAGAGACTCGGATAAAGCTCCTGGCTCCTGGCTTCAGCCTGGCCCAGCCCTGGCCTTTGCAGGCATTTGAGGAGTGAACCAGCAGACAGTTCTCATTATCTCTCCCTCTCTCTCTCTAACCCCGTCTTTCAAATAAATAAATCTTTTTTTTTTAATTCAAATTATAAACAAACAATATGGGCTTATTTGTTGTTGTTAGGAAAAATTTCAACGACCCAGTGGGCTTTTTCCATGGAGAACGTTTTGGGGCTGAACTTACCATGGAGATCCCTGAGTTCCCACCTAGTAAATACAGACAAAAATGGAGACATTGACTATATGTCCAGCTTCCAGGATATCCACATTGAAAAACCTGTGAAAGAGGTGAGTGAGATAAAGTCCCAGGTGAAGCCTTGCTGGGGCCAAACACCCTTTGCACAAGCTACGAGAGTGACTTAATCCTTGAAAAGCTGGTAGTGGTCTGTTCAGCAAAATTGGGCATACTAAGGATAAGCCAAAAGAATATAAAAGAAAATGTTTCAGCAAGTGAAACTACATCAGAGATAGGATTCCAATGCTAAGTACAGTCTAGTGGACATCCATTCTTTCCCAGAACACACCATTTAAAATACTTAGTGTTCTGTATTAAACTGTGAGTGTATAGACTTGCTAACATGATTCAGAGTGTGCCTTAAAGATTTTTAAAATGCAAAATCCTGGGGCTGGCTTTGTGGCATAGCAGGTTAAACCACTGCCTGAGACATCCGTGTCCCATATCAGCACTGGTTTGTGTCTCAGCTGTTCCACTTCTGATCCAGCTCCCTGCTGATGCGCCTCCTGGGAAAGTAGCAGAAGGTGGCCCAGGTGCTTAGACCGCTGCTACCCTTGTGGCAGTTCTGGTCTTGTGGCTTCAGCCTGGCCCAGCCCTGGCCATTGCAGCCATTTGGGGAGTGAACAGCAGATGGAAGATTGATCTCTCTGTCTCGTCTTCTCTCCCTGTAACTCTGCCTTTCAAATACATACATAAATCTTTTAAAGAAACACAGAATCCTTTACTAAAAAGGAAGAGTTATCAGATCCCAGTACTTGTTACTTAACAACTCATCAGTGTGAGTTAGGACATTGAGCCTAGTGGAATGAGGCCGTGAGTGGCTATTTGCCGGGAAGGGCAGAGCAGAGACAGAGAAGTCGTTGTCGGTGTTGGAGACTAAAATATCCATGGCAAGGAGGCTTTGGACTTCAGAGGCAGTTTACTGTGGCGACTAAGGTCATAGGCCTGGGCTTCCCAGCACTGAAACTCAAGTCCCACTTACCAGCTGTGTGACCCACTGAAACTCAAGTCCCACTTACCAGCAGTGAGACCCCTTGAGAAAGTTACTTTGTCTCCCTGTTTTCTAAAGGATAGAATGGTAGGTGTGTTCCTGTCCTTTCTGATTGCAGAGGACCGAAGGAAGTCATCCCCAAGCTCTCCGTGAATGTGGGCAGGTGTTAGTGACTGCGGCCCTGCGGCCCTGTTCGCAGCAGCCCACCCCCGAGAGGCACACAGAGCGCAGTCTGTTTTCTGGTCAAGGAGGGTCGGGCCTCCAGGGCCAGGCGTACCTTCTCAGATTTCTATTTAAACCACATAATTTGAATTGGTGATGATGTTTCGTGTTGGTACTTTTGTTAAAATTGATCTGTGTCATTAATTCTATGTTTAACACTTCAAAAAAATCTTTATTTTAGGCTCAGTCTACTGTCATTGAAACTTTGTACCGATATCGATCTGACCTGCAAATCATATTTAATATCATTGATTCTGATCACTCAGGTAAATGAACTTGGTTCAGTAGTAGTAGAAGGCAGAGGCTAGTTTGTCTCCCTGAAATCAGAACTCTGTTTTTACCCATTTCATCCTTCACCCAAACTTGAAGAAACTCAAGGGAAAATAAATAAACTTGTGTTTCATATTATTGTTATTTTAGCTTGGCCATAAACTCTACATTCAAGACTAGAGAGTCCTACAGAGCCGTAGGTCAAACTGAAAGAACACCTTTTATAAGTCACCAGCACAAATACAAAGATAATTTACTGATAGGTTCATTATTTTAGTTACTGTTGCCAATCAAAATCATTTCTAGAGTTCTGATGGTTTGGGGAATTAAGGACTATGAAAACTCAGTTTTTGTTTAGCTTTGATGCACAATTACTTTCATGCTTAAAAAATGTCATCGCCTAACCCCCTACTGCAGAGACCTTTGAACACCAAAAAATTAATCACTGATTCATGAATGTGCATTGTTGGCTATAAGAAGGCAGTGCCCTTGTCTGTCACCCCCTTAGGGCCCCGCATTGCCTGCTGCCTTTGCTGTTCTGTGAGTCTCTGTTGTGGCCTCCTGCCATGGCCCTCACGCTCAGATTTTAGCTCTGGTGATTCCCACAGTCCACGATCCCCTCCCCATTCCTGCACTGTTGACTCGTTCTGGCTCTGGAACAATCGCAAATCACTGAGCAATCAGAAGTGACACGCGCTTCTTCTCTTCATGATCTCGCTCCCCGCTTCCTTCAGTGTCCTGATGCTCAGGCTTGCTAGTGAGCTGCTAACGGGGGCGATTCACTCAGTGTGCGCTCCCGCGCTTCCCTTAGGCGAGTCTTCAGGTGAACACTCACAGCTTTCTCCTGTCTTCTTTTAGGTCTGATCTCCATGGAAGAATTCCGGGCCATGTGGAACCTTTTCAGTTCTCACTACAACGTTCATATTGATGATTTCCAGGTTAACGAGCTCGCCAACACAATGGACTTAAACAAGGATGGGAGCATTGACTTCAATGAGTTTTTAAAGGCTTTCTATGTAGTGCATAAGTTCGATAAGAAAAATTAGACACCGAGTTTGCTAAAGCCTCCTGAGGGATTCCCTTAGTCTCTTTACAAACAGCTGGGCCCAAACAACAGACACAATCTTTTCCAAGACCCTGAAAATCCATAGTCAACAGTAGAGGAAAGTAGCCCCCAATTCACAGCAAGCAGACGCACAGTACGGATGGGTACTGGGAGTGCCTGGCAAGCTGTTAGCTGTAAGACTAGGTTAAATGTCAGCAGCTAGGATTTGGCTCCAGGTTAGAGCCCACACAGTGCCAGTGAGAAACTGGGTTCCAGCCTAGTGTTTGTCTCCTGGATGCGACCTAACCAGGAGACCACAGTGATTTCCAAACCTACTGAAAGGAACCCATAGCGCTTCAGACAAAACTGCTGGGAGCAACATCGGGAGTGAAGGCTGGGAGGAGGATTACCAAACGATGAGTGCAATAAACCAGTCCCACCTTTCAGCTGCAGTCCTCTGTGCGGATTCCTTACGCCAGTGATCCTCAGCTGTCGGGCAGTGGCCTTCAGGGATAGGCGCCTCGTCACGTCCTGGGGCAGCGGTGGGAGCGCAGTGTTAGGAAAAGCCTCGTGGTCTCGTGTCTGTTGCGGACGGGCATCCTCATTGCTGTGTGGGGTCTCGGTGGTGCATACACTGTGCAATGCTTGCATATCAAAGACAACAAGAAATTTCTGTTTAAAGGTAAGATAGATTTCAGAGTTTTTTTTTCTTTTAAGTTTGAATACTTCACAATCTAGCAATGAGCCAGATTAGATAGCCTACAGGCCTGCCTGTTACAAGCACCAGAAATAATGGACAAAATATGACAGATCTTTAAATTTTCAATTCTTTTATTAAACTTTTAATATACAGAAAAAGAACATAATTAAAACTGTAACAATATTAAAATCAGGATAGATTTTAAGTCAAAGAAGTATCATTAGGAATGCTAAAAGGAATAATTTACCAGGAAGATATACTAATTACAAACATATACCTATAACAAAGCTTCAAAATTTATATTGCAAAAGGTGATGTAACTACCAGGCTAAATTGATAGAAGATTTTTACAACTCTGTCAGTAATTGATCATGTATACTAAAAATTAGTGTATAGACTACTGGACAACCTACTCAGTCCACCTGATGGGATATCTATTTGTATATTGGAGAGAACTTCAAAACGGTTATGGAAAATGCAATTAAAAATCTATTTGGTGAAAAATGTTTTGACCATGCTTGTGAAGAAAATGAATGTTATGAAAATCATGCATAGATTTCAAAATCTTTATACCAAAATAGGTTTATTGTTTAATTCATTTTTCCACCAACTTTTTGAAGTATCGTCAATACATACATATGGGTGTATGTGTGTATCTGTAACTGTGTTTAGATATGTGTGTGTGTGTATGGGTACTCATATACAGACCTTTAATTTTAGAAAATGCACATCATTTTCAAGCACACATGGAACATTTATAAAAATTGATCATGTATTAGACCACAAAACATCTCAAATACTAAATTAAATTAGAAGCCAGAATAAAAAAGATAACTGTATTAAAATGAATAAAAAAGAGATAATAACTAGATCTACAAGAGAATGGTAAGAAAAACGTTGACAAGAATACCATGAAGAATTTTATGCCAATAATTTTAAAAACTAGGTGAATGGACAATTTCCTAGGGGAAAATATAACTTACTAAAGCTAAGTGAAGAGTGACAGGAGAGTGCAGAGACATCCAACCATTAAAGAATGTGATGGCTTCGTAATGGGTCAGTTTGGCTAGGCTGTGGCTCCTGGCTTTGGATTAGCTCAGTTCCAACCATTGTGGCCATTTGGGGAGTGAACCGGCGGATGGAAGACCTCTCCCTCTGTCTCTCCCTCTCGCTCTCTGTAACTCTACCTCTCAAATAAATAAACAAATCCTCTGCGTCAGCGTCTCTCACTTCTGGGCTGTGTTTAGCTCCATGACGCGGGCACCTGGTCACTGAAGCCCGAGACAATAAGAAGGGCTCCAGGCTCCAGTTTGTCCTCAGGAGGTGCCAGCTGGTGCTTGTGGCTTTCAGCCTGCTTGTGATTCTCCTTCCTGACCACCTGCTCTGTGGATGCAGAGCCCCAGCATCGGCCGTGGAGCCCCCAGCCTTCCAGAGCCTGCTGGACCAGCTCCCTCATTTGCTAAGTCTCTTCTCCTGGTTGTCCTGGCTCTGCCTCGGGTGCAACTGTGACTGATAGAGCTTTCGATACGGAGTGGTTCCAGAGGAACAGAATCTTACACACGAGTGCTCTGAGTGCCCTGGGGGGTGGGGGGAGGGGTGGTTCTGGAGTTGCTTTCCTAGTCCGTGCACCTACTTTCCTTTTTGAAAACTTTTTAAAATTTACTTTTATTTATTTGAAAGGCAGAGTGACAGAAAGAGACACAGAGAGCGCGCGATCATACCTGCACGGATCCACTCCCCAAATGTCTGCCCAGCCAAGACTGGGCCAGGATGAAACCAGCAGCCCAGAACTGGATCTGGGTCTCCCACGTAGGGGGCAGGGAGTCAAGTACGTGGGCCACCGCCTGCTGCCTCCCACGGTGTACAGTAGCAGGAAGCGTGGTTGGACGAAACGCTGGGACTGAAACCCAGGCACTCGAGTATGGGATGTGGATGTCTCAAGCGGCACTGCAGTGCCTGCCCCGATGAGCCTGCTCTCTGCAGATAGACTTGCCTTTTCCGAATACTTCACACGAATGGAATTCCCTGATATGTCACCCCGCACGTCTGGCTTCCTTCACCGAACTCAATGTTGTTGAGGGTCATCTGTGTGGAGCGTGTACCCACAGTTCATCCCTTCTCGTTGTTGACTAGTATTCCATTGTATCGAAATAGAACATCTCCTTTACCTGTTCATTGCAAGATAGCATTTAGCTTCCTATTTTTCACTATCAGAGCAAGGCTGCTAAGAACATTCATACCCAAGTCTGGGTATGGCATGGTTTCCTTGCTGTTGTCCTACACTTTCCTCTTTAGTTTCAACTTCATTTTTATTGCATTTATTCCATGCTTTGTAATTTTAAGATCGTCTTTCCTTTCTTCAGCTTCTTTATTGGCTTCTTAGCGACTTCAGAAGGAAACTCAAATCCCTTAGTGTGGTCAGAGAGGGAACCTTCCCCCCTGCTCACCCTTATCTCTTAGCCACTCCCTTTTTGAAGAGAAGTACTTCAAGGTATATCACTTACAAAGTGAAGGGACGTCAAGACAAAGAAAGAAAGAATTGCCAGGCAATGTTCTAATGTCACTTATTGCCAATCACCCACATTGGGTCATCTTTACTAAGGAGAGAATATTCTTGATTTGCTATAGTAGCCAAAAGACCATTTTGGATAGTGCCTAGTGGATGGTGGGGTCCTAATATTGATTAAATATTTATCCAAATTAATTCTGATGAATAGCAGCAAGCATTGATATGAGTACGATAAGAAGACTGACATTAATTCCCCTTTATGATTATGTTCACAGCCTAGACCAGAACTAACGAAAATTAGGAAGGGGACGCCTGTGGCTTCATGGCCACCAATCCCTTGTCCAAGGCATGGAGAACAGAACTGCAGTCTCCCATTGCTATGATTCTTTGGCAGGAAAAGCCAGAGAGGCAGTCACTCCTGCTGCTGCTGCTGCTGCTGTCAAGATCCAAGCCCATGTTTCAGGAAAGCCGCAGCTGTGGGAAAAACTGGAGCCTTGGACGTGATGTTTACAGAACTCTCCACCGGTTCATCACCTCACAACCTACCGAGAATCCTGGCTTAGTGCTTCTGAGAAACAGCCAGTCCCTCAGGCAGGCCCTCGCGGCTCTTTTTGGTCGCTTCCTGAATAGCATTTGGCTGTTTTTTCTGAGGGTTCTTTCTGGAACTCTCATTTTCTCCAGAATTAATTATATGCCTTTGTTGGAAATGTCACCTAAAAATGGACTTTGATTTCCCCAATGATTGTCAATTCGTATCACCCAGCTTCTGTGTGACACATGAGTTGTGCCTAACCACACTTCAGTCTTGCAGTGCCTCTGTATGTTTATCTCATTTTCCATTTTTTATTGCAAATTAGATTGAGCATTTTTATTAGCTGATCAGCCAGCCTGTTTTCTTTATCTGTAAAGTGCATGTTCTTAGCCTCTGCTCATTTTGTCTGGGGGTTGGGTGCACCGCTCTTACTGATTTCTGGGAATTTTAAAGCTCTTCTTGATACTAATCCTCTATCCTCTCTCTCTCTTTTTTTTTTTTTTTTTTTGACAGGCAGAGTGGACAGAGAGAAAGGTCTTCCTTTGCCGTTGGTTCACCCTCCAATGGCCGCCACGGCCGGCGCGCTGCGGCCAGCGCACCGCACTGATCCGATGGCAGGAGCCAGGTACTTATCCTGGTCTCCCATGGGGTGCAGGGCCCAAGCACTTGGGCCATCCTCCACTGCACTCCCTGGCCACAGCAGAGAGCTGGCCTGGAAGAGGGGCAACCGGGACAGAATCCGGCACCCCGACCGGGACTAGAACCTGGTGTGCCGGTGCCGCAAGGCGGAGGATTAGCCTAGTGAGCCGCGGTGCCGGCCTCTCTATCCTCCCTTCGTGAAGCAGATATTACCTCCCAGTCTGGGACCTGATTTTTTCACTTTCTGGCATCTATTTTAAAGCAGGAGATTTAAATTTTTATTTGTCCAATTTGTCAGTCTCCTTCATAATTTGTGCTATTTCTGTCTTGTCTACTCCAAAAAATTATGTCCAACCCCAGAAATGCCATAAATAAATTCTTAGTATTCAGATTGTATATTTGCAAATTCACCTACAAAATTTATTTGTAACCCCCAATCAGTATCAACAGGCTGGGTTTGTGGCATAGCAGTTAAGATGCCACTTGGGACCCCCACATCCCATATCAGGGTAGCTGGGTTTGAGTTCCACACTCGGCTTCCAGCTTTCTCCTAATGTGCACCCTGGGAGGCAGCAGTGATGGTTCAAGGATTTGGGTCCCCACCATCCATGTGGAAAACCAACATTAAGTTCCAGGCTCCTAGCTTCAGTCTAGCCTAGTCCCAATTGTTGCAGGCATTTGGGAGTGAATCAATGCAAGGAAAATCCATTCTCATTCCTCCCTCTCTCCCTCCCTCCTTCCCTCCCTCCCTCCCTCTCTCCCTCCCTCCCTCTCTCCCTCTCTCCCTCTCTTTCAAATAAGATGAAAAAAAAAAAAGTCAGTATTTGCAGGGGCCATGTGCAAAGGTAGTGAAAGCTCTGTCATGCACATCCCCAGCTGAGGTGGGACAAGGTGACACTCTGGCATCTTCTTTCAGACCTTGGACTGTAAACAAGTGTCCTTGAGACACATTTAGTGCCGCCTTTTCCACATCTGAGTGCTTTTCGCTGCTGTAAAATGGCTCCCAAGCACAGTGTTCTGAGTGCAAGGAGGCTGTGGTGCGCCTTGTGGAGCAAACACGGGTCTGGGATGAGCAGTGTTCAGCTGACAGCTCGGCTGGCCATGAGTTCAGTGTTAATGCCTCAGCAAGGGGACTTCAAAACTTTCCTGGCAAACGGAATTAAAAAATAAGTTTCTTTGGTGCAAAACAGTTTTGAAATCCATTCATCATTTATCCATAACATACCATCTCCATTAACTTTTCAAAGACCTCTTGTGAACATGAAATAAAATGTCTTTAAACAGAAGCACACATAAAACAAGGCTATGTATGGATCAGCTGATGAAAATGTGACCACAGGCTGACAGGAACCCAAAGGAGTTTTTACAATTTTGCTTGTCAGGAGCACTAGCGCTCTCAGCTCTTTTTTATTTTATTTTTATTTTTGACAGGCAGAGTGGACAGTGAGAGAGAGAGACAGAGAGAAAGGTCTTCCTTTTTGCCATTGGTTCACCCTCCAATGGCCGCCGCGGCCGGTGCACTGCGGCCGGCGCACCGCGCTGATCCGATGGCAGGAGCCAGGTACTTATCCTGGTCTCCCATGGGGTGCAGGGCCCAAGCACTTGGGCCATCCTCCACTGCACTCCTGGGCCACAGCAGAGAGCTGGCCTGGAAGAGGGGCAACCAGGACAGAATCCGGCACCCCGACTGGGACTAGAACCTGGTGTGCCGGCACCGCTAGGTGGAGAATTAGCCTATTGAGCCGCGACGCCGGCCGCTCTCAGCTCTTGGAAATGAATCTCAGGTATGATGGAGGAGCATTAGCTGTCAAATGGCTCATTCTCTTCCACTCATTTGGAATGCCACCTCGGTTGTCTAGAAAGAACCCATGAATACATGGGCTTGTGATCTGTTGGTCTCTGTCCTCCCACTAATAGCTCATGTATTAAATATTACAGGTTTATAATAGTGTGGTTTCTCCATCTACCATCTTTATTCTTGAAAATTCATTTAGCTCTTCTGTCCTTGGTATACATTTTAGAATCAGCTTGCCAAGCCTATAAAATCCCCTGTTGGATTCTGAAAGGAATTGCCATCCTTACTATATTGAGTTTTCCCATTCATGAACATGGTACACTCTCTTAGTTACTTTAGTCCCCCATAATGTCTTTAAAAAAGAGAAAAAGACGTATTGGGAGCCAGCATTGTGGTGCAGTGGGTTATGCCCACATCCCATATCAGAGGGCCTGGTTCAAGTCCTGGCTAATCCATGCCTCCTGTCTAGCAGCCTGCTAATGTGGCTAGGAGGCAGTAGATGATGGCCCAGGCTGCATCCCATGTGGGAGACCCAGATGGAGCTTCTGGTTCTTGGTTTTGAAGCCTGGCTCAGCTCTGGCTGTTGCAGGTATTTGGGGGAATGAACCAACAGATGGAAAATCTTTAAAAATAAATGAATAAGGCTGGAGCCGCAGCTCAATAGGCTAATCCTCTGCCTGCAGCGCCAGCACACTGGGTTCTAGTCCTGGTCGGGGTGCCGGATTCTGTCCTGGTTGCCC